ACGTCCACATTTTTGAGACTGTTGGAGGTGGGGTTTCTGGGTTTGCGTGGTTTCGAGAGAGGATGGCATTGGCGCAATTTGTCACCATTTCAGCAGTCGGCGGGCGGCCAGCTTCGTCAAGCTGTTTGATCCAGTGTTTAACTGCATCCTCCTGTGCTTTATCAAGTATTCGGTTGGCAGGCTTTGGAGCTTTCTTCGACGGCTTGCCATTGATACGTGATCGAAGGGCGTAGTAAGGAACGCGATACTCGTTGTGTAACGACGTGATATTTTTATTTTCACCACGTCGGTACTCGGTGACAGCTGCAAGGATTCGACTCTCTTGATCATCTTCCTCAGGAGGCATGTTGGTGTTGAGATAATTAACTATTTGAGTTGAATTTACAGATTTTGCGTTGTTGTGTGGTTTGCGTTGATCTGTGGCGCACCCACCCTGGAGGGGGGGGAAGCCTGGCACGAGTACTACCTATACTCCTAGGTTAGAAGTATCTCTCGAAGAGATCACTAAAGGCTTCGCAAGCATTGAAATCGATATGCCTAAGGAAAGCACGACCGACCTTTTGAACACGCTTGTCACCGCCCTTACCACTGCGAACAGAGACCGCGACACCCCCTCGAGAGCTATACGATGGCCAGAATGGGATAGTACTAAGGACGGCTATAGCCTGTTTAAGTGGACGATCGAGTCTAAGATCGAGCAAGAGTAAGGACGTTTAGGAAGCAACAAGGCTATATATACGAACATCTTTACCGGTCTCCCAAAAGAGAAACAGTAGCGAGTGATCTACTGGCTATAAGAAGAAGATAATAGCGGGTCCTACGCACCAGAGGAGTTCCTAGAATATATAGATAGTAAGTTCCTAGATAGAGAAGAGGAAAGGAAGGCGCTAGATAAGCTAGATCGGCTGAGACAAGGCGATAAGCAGAAGTTCGAAGACTTTAGACAACAATTTGAGCAACTCTTAGCCCAGGCCGGCTCTCTTAGTCACAGAGGAGCCTCGAAGATCTCTATTATAAGGAGGTCATTGAACACATCGCTGGCTAGGACACTCATTCCGGTGGAACTATCGAATACCGATTACGACGCATACGTCACGAGGGTCTAGGCGATCGCGACGAACTTCGAAGCCCACGTAGACTTTTATAAGCAGACTGGGTCTATAACGTACTATTATGTCAACGAAGGCTTATATAGATCGCCGGTTCATAAGGGATCATACTCTCCTTAGGCGAGCGGTACCGACGCGGAGGGCGACGTTAAGATGACCGATGTAAACGCGCTATCAGTTCAAATAGCAGCGCTAGCGGCTCGTTTCGACGCGCTTAGCAATACGAAGGAAGACAAGCGCCCTAGGGCAAAATAGCGACCCCAAGCGGAGTTCTCAGCACTACTACAAGCGGGCAAATGTGGGCGTTGCAAGAAGCCTAAGCATAACCCGAGCGTATGCGAGTTTCGACCTGCGGCACGCCCAAGAGCTCAAGTCACTGCTATAGCCGCGCAGCCTACCGACAGCGACTCACACGAAGTCCTATTAGACTCGGGAAACTAGGCGCCCTTGCGCATCGACGCGCGCAAGGGCCTACGGTAAATGTATACGGCGAGGACATTATAAAGCTACTAAGTATAAAAGAGGTTGAATAAAAGGGGCCCTCTTCCCAATCCGATAGTATTCCATCGCGAAGTGAAGCAGAGACTATCTGCTCTTGGAGTTCAGGAGGTAATGATGGGAAATTGAACCTGGCTTTTCGTTGTTTGCTTGGCTGACGATGTGGTTTCGTTATGCGCGACTGTCTAGATGTATAGCCCATGATGAGGGACGCTGGGCGAAAGAAATCAAACAGGCGGTTGGATATACGAAGAAGACAAAGGGGCGTGATAAAAAGAGGATAAGGAGGGGAGCATTTATGCCACCTATTACCAATATCCCGCAAGGTCTGAGGGCCACCAACAACTGGTCCTGGCTTATCTTGGCTTCACTGTTGTTTGTGCAGACTCTTCTCCCACTTCTGAAGGAAATTGCAAGGTTGATGGGCTAAGCCTCGCTCAGCATGTCTTGGCGTGAGAAGCCATGCCAAGATATGGAAGCAAATTTATGGTCTGACTACGCCCCGGAAGAGTGCGAGGCCTAATGGAACACACTCAGTTGATATAAGACTCGGGGTTCCAAAGAAGGGGTATATCACTTTGCCATCGCGATGAATATGAGAGCAGCGGAAGGGACAACAAAATTAAAATGCAGTCATGCAGCTTCGACGCTGAGACATGAGCCAGGCCGGTAGCTGATCCACTATCGCTCACTTCACTATCTCATCCTTGAACCCTTCGCCATTTTCATGGCCCGTCCTCGCTTGTTCCGAGCCTTGAACCCGTCGAGCTACTTGATCGCAGCTCTGCGTAGAATCATACGACATGGCCAGCGGATTCCCTTTCGTCTGTTCGCGCTGCCATGAGTCGAGTCTACGCTCCTGGCAGATCGGTGAACTCGCCCAGTTGTTGCGCTGAACCATGGTCTTTCTCGCCATCAGATCCGGCAGGGTCCACGACTCTGATGTCTGGGGACACAACGGCCCTAACGGCCGCCCCCTTGGCCTTTACCGAGGTGAACTTGAAAAGGTCGGCGGCAAATTTGCCATCATCGCAGTCACTAGTCCATGTCGCAGGCAAGTTCAGCTGGTTACAGTCCTGACTGCCTCGGGAACGCATCGCCAATCAACATCAGAGTGACCCTGGAAAGCCATCTAGGCGTCACCGTCGCCTTCCCTTTGGACACCGGAATAGTAATGGCCGCGCCCTGTAAGTGGAATGGCGGGCCAGGCTGACACCATCATGATCATACGATCATGACGATGAGGCGCAACGGTGAGGCTGGCCAACCATTCAACCACCTTCGCCGGTTTGTGAACGCGCGTTCTCTAATCCGGAACTGATGCTGGTGTGGTTGCTGACGTGGCATAAGGCATCGTCGGCGAAGAAAGTCGGAAACTTGCAGTTGACGCGGACACATTCAGGAGCAGAAGAAGAGCAGAAGAAGAGCAGAAGAAGGAATGACTGAGGGAGGGAACGCGGGTTGCACTGGGCTCATGGCCGAGGCTTGGGGCTCCGATCAATTAGCTTTCCAAAACACCTCCAAACGACTGACAATTCAAGTATGCTGGACGGCCCGGGTGGAGCCTGATCAGCACCTTGAGTTGGCTGGATTTGGGACTCGTCGAACTTGATGCAGGAGGCGCCGGGTTGAATTTGCGAGGTTGGATTTCTTTCTCGCTATCGGGGGGACAGCTACGCTTCGGGCGGCACGCAGAGCGAAGTCCTGGGTGGAGATACCCTTTGATGGAGAGCGGTCGTCTTGTTGATCTCTTGCTGGAGGAACAGAAGTGGCTTGGCACCTTTCAGGAGACACCGTAGGCCGAAGACTCCTGGCAGAGGACAAGCGAGCATGATGGCCCCTGGCAGGTGAAGGAGTGGGATGAAGCCTTGGAGCTGGAGATGCGCTGACTCTCGCGTTTCTTGTCCGATCGCCAGACTCTTCCACTTCCATCTCGACCCTTAGTAGTTCCGGTTCAACGGATGGTGACACTTGATCCCGGATTCCCTTTTCTGTAGCGTCATTTAGAGGCGGAAGACTCTCCGAACGATCGCGTACAGCAAGGCCTTCGTCCCGCTGCTCCTCTTCGACTTAGTCCTGTGATTCGTCGACATCCTCATCTTCGTCTAGCGATTCAATCAGGTTCTTAAATCCCTTGATGATGCAAGTTATGCCGCCTTGGCTTTGATCCTCTTATTAAGCTCCGCATCGCGTAATTGAACAAATGCAAGAGCTATCGTGACACAATCGTCGTAAGGAAACTTGTCCTGCAAATTCTCGCAGTCTTCGTCCAGTTCGGTGTCGATCTTATCCCATATGGACCACGGACAGACCTGGCCGTTGGTGGTTAGCCGGTCATTTTAGTTGTAAAAAATATCAAGCATATCGTAAAACTCTATTGCACTTCAGAATTAATTGCATGGAAAGCCCACTTCAGGCGGAGCGGGAACCACCAAAGCAAGGGAAAACATTCGGCCCAAATAAAAGCATAGAGAAATGGACCTGGGGACGAACAGTAACTGATGACGTGCAAGGAAAGCAGACAGCGCAGTGAGAAGACGCCACGTGTCCAACTTCAGGAAGTTGGGAGGAGGAAAAAGGGGATGTAGTCGGAGGTCGAAGTGACGGGCTGAGCAATGGCCAAGGCCGCCGATCAGCCATCTCCCTCTAACGACGCGTTGACTAAGTATGTATGGTAACGCACCCGGCCAATGGCAGGCGAGCCGGATAGTACTATGGCGGATGAGTTCCCACGTGGTCACCCACCGTAGTACTATTCCATCTCTAACCTGCTTGAGTACGGCAGAGCGGACGGGATGCCCTATATTCAGGTTGAT